ATATGGAAGTATATTACTCATGCATTTTATTGTATATTGATATTTTAATAATAAAATTACCATATTCAAACCTATTTTTAAGTGTCATCATATCATCTCAGCCTTGTTTAAAGACAAGAAAGATGAAATGATATCGCGTATCTTATGTATATGCTGTGATTTTGGTACGTAAGTGCTCGTAAGTGTAACTTTAGTTCAATTATCAACCATGTGTATCATTTTGTATTTAAGCGATTATTTGAATTAATTAATGTCAAAATTATATTATGCCTATGTTAATTGATTTATATTTTTATTAAAATTTTAACAAATTGCATAACTTTATTCTTCGCCTTCAAATATTAATTTATTATCAAATTTATTATCGAATTTAGAAATCAAATTAATAATGCAAATAATCTTTCAGTTCTCGAAAATACTTGTTTTTGATTCCTATGTATAAGAATAAAATATAGATGAGCATTTCAGATCCTCTGTAGAGGTAGAGGATTGGTAGTCTGATACCAGCGAAGAAGGCGCTTCCTGTCCATAATCTGATAAATTAGAACAGATCAACATGGTTTAATCATCAAAATCTTTATTTAAGTTTGAACAGGCTCAGATACTATAAATAATATAAAACTGTGTTTCAGCATAGTAAGTCTGTAATATGCTTTCACATAAACGAATAATCTCTCACAAAAAAGTCTGAAAAAAACTGCTTTTAAAAAACAGACTTGGATAGTATTCATATGGGACCCATGAATATTGTCCATTGTCTACCAAAAAAAAACAAAATATAATGTAAATAGTAAATAAATTAATTAATCAATAAGATATATAAATTAATTAATCAATAAGAATATATAAAATACTAACTTATTGAGTTAATCTAGTTTATAAACCTGTAAATACTCACTAACAGATAGACCTAAATAATATTATTGCTTGTGTTGCGATATTCATTGCCAATACTGAATATCTAGTATACATTATCTATATTATAGTTGAACACTATACAATGAATATGGGAACAAAGCCAATTGTAAATAGTACTCTTAATTCTAATCGATAGAATCACTACTTACCAGACTTACTATGTTGAAAACAGTAATTTGATATCAGTTAACAGGAGTCATTGGACAGAAAGCGCCCGATAGGCACTATCCTTATTCAATCAACAACGTTGACTACTTTTTTGCGTATAGCATAACGCAACAGTTTTGCTGTTCAAAAATTTTTTTATAGACTAGTCTATATAAAAGTCTATCTAAACAATCCTAAATGCACTCAATATCTCGCAACACGTTTACTTAACGATCGCCATGGTCGCCATCATGTGGTGGAAAGAAGAAAGATGAATCACTCCCATTATGGTGGAGGAAACCACTATGATGGAAAAGATACCACAGTTGGTATTATCAACTCGATTATTATCATAGTCGGTATTTGCGTAACGATTAGTAAATACGTAGAATTACCGATCATGATTTAAATCTAATTCCTGAGAGTCATAAAATCATCGATGTGTTATCCACTGAAATATATAGTTCAGTATGCGCGTTCTGTGCACATAGAGGCGCTAATAGACAGGTTCCATTTCCAATGACTTTTTAGAGTGTATGAGTATTGAGCGTATAGATATTGCTCAGAATATAGACTTCTTTCTGTACTGATTTTACCAGATACAAGATTAAATTGTTAAAATTTGGCGATAGTATGCGATAGCGACGATAGTTCATACGTGTGTGAATCCGTCATCTAGGTGTTGAATCAGTGGAACGGAGTACTTCGTGTATTGTTATTAGAATTGTATCGTTCGTACTAGTCAGAAACAAAAGCACGAAAATGAGTAATTCAACTATTTCGGATCAAACACTGATGGACAAGTCGATGCGGAGTGTCTTTGGTGAGTAATTTAACCAGTCTCAATGCCGCTTCTTAGAGTTATATTAATGTGACGTCGCAATATCTATTGTTTTACAGTCGGGAATATCCCGTACGAGGCTACGGAGGAGAATCTGAAGGATATCTTCAGTGAGGTTGGACCGGTGCTTTCATTCAAGTGAGCCTATTTTTCGTTGTTTATTTTAATTAATTGTATTAAACAATTTATTATTATTTATTATTATTATTTAGTTATTATTATTTTTCCTTTCAAATCTTTTAACATATCTTAAACATTTCTTATTAATTTTAGCAGCCAATTTAAAAATACTATACTTTCTCTTTAAGAAAGTAATTTGAATTTTATCAATATTGAATTATTGTCTAGAACGCTTGTAAAAGAATTTCTTTGCAATAAATATATAGAATATAACTTTATTCATTTATGTCTTATATTATTATTTTTTTATCAAAAACATATTCGACTTGTAAGTTTTATCTTTCTCTGTTTTTCTATAATCACTCCAATTTTTTTTACAAAGGTAATATTTGTATTTATCTATTTCTTTAATTGTTGCAAATAGATTAGTATTTGACCGTGAGACAGGCAAGCCCAAGGGATATGGCTTTTGTGAATATAAAGATCAGGAGACTGCTCTAAGTGCTATGAGAAACCTAAATGGATATGAAATTGGTGGACGAACATTACGCGTGGACAATGCTTGCACAGAGAAAAGTCGTATGGAAATGCAAAGTCTCCTGCAGGGTCAGAGTACAGAGAATCCTTATGGAGAAGCCGTTCAGTCGGATAAGGCACCAGAAGCGATAAGCAAAGCTGTGGCATCTTTGCCACCGGAACAAATGTTTGAACTGATGAAACAGATGAAACTTTGTGTTCAAAATAATCCAAATGAGGCACGTCAAATGCTCCTGCAGAATCCCCAGTTGGCGTACGCTCTGCTCCAAGCACAAGTTGTCATGAGAATAGTGGACCCTCATACAGCTGTCAGTATGTTGCACAAGGCTAATCCTATCCCAGGTATACTAACACCATCGGAGAAACCAACTCAGCAGGTACAACCACGAATCGAGGAGCCATGGGCACAGCGACCCCCACCACCTATTAATGCTCCAACACCTATTTTCGCAGGTACGACAAAGGATCATCTTCTTATTAATTATTATTTAAGCATTATATTAGTTATTATTGGTTATAAAGAATTGCGTTAAATTTTGTATGCATCCATTTTTTCTGTAGTTGATCCATTTGAATATGAAAATTAATGAATTATTAATGAATAATACTTGTTTTATTCACCTTATGATATGTTATACTTCATCTGAATCGTGAAATCTCCATTATCACAGGGAATATAAATGTAAAAATTCAATCCGTAAAAACAGGTCAGGACGTAGATCTCCGACTAGAGAGACAGATAGATCCGTGTGTAACTAGGAAGAATCAAGATTTGAGAGGATCACTGGACAAGGAATTTAAATTAAAAATTGAATCCGTAAAAACAGGTCAGGACGTAGATCTTCGACTAGACAGGCAGATAGATCCGCGTGTAGCTAGATTAGATCAAGATTTGAGAGGATCACCTCAAACGCAACCTGCGCCAGTCAGCGCGCCGGTGATACCAGTCACCACCGATCTGAGAGGGGCAAATGCATTTAATATGGCAGACAAGTAAGAGCACTTCATGTTAATCGATATACATAGATTCGATTATAGACTGCGTAATTAAAAGATCTCTTTTTACAGCCTACTTTCTGTGGAAGGAATTGAGAGGTCTCATATACATATATATGTGTATATATATATATATATATAGTGATATATCTCGCCATTCATAATATAATCATTTTATATATTCTAATTATCATGATCTCATGTAC